GATGTGAATTGATGCTCTCATCAGGGGGAGTTAATACGCGTTGTACTCTTTTTCCCTTACACGGTTTTATCCCACTGGGTTTTCCTTGCAAGGTTTTTAACGAGGCAACCAAAAGGCGTATTTCTAAACATGTGTACTCTTTTTCCTTCACTATGATTTTTTTTTTCAATAGGATTTTTTCCTAATAAGATTTTAGCGAGGTACATTATCTATGGACATCCAAGGGGGAGTGTTATAAGAGAAATCAATAAGTTGGATGTCTAATCTTCCTCCATGATCTTCTCAAATGCTTAATGACATATTCAATGACATATTTCTATGCTTAATGACATATTTTTATTCACTTTTCATGCCTATATAAAGGCCTTGTAATAGATAGAAAAAACACACAATTGAAGAAGAAATAAGAATCTCTCTTCCTCTCTTTCTCTCTATATATCTTAGCTTGTTTTTCCTTGTTTGATATTGTTATTTTGAGTTATATTTATAACAAGTAACTCTTTTTTGAACAAACTAAAAAGGGAAATTTCCCACATAAAATGAGATAGATGTACATGTTTACATCAAAGCAATGAACAATATATAAATAATTAGCATTTACTTAATGTAGTTCGTTAGTGTGTAATTCTTCAATATATTAGTTTTTTTCAAACTTCAATATATTAGTAGTTTAGTTCGTTTCACTTTTGCCCATCCCTGTTTTTCTTTTTCTCACCTGCTAGGAGAAAGGGATCGTGTTGGGAAGAATGGTGAACTTTTTGCAAGCCAATTATGTATTGTACTCAGTCTTCATAATTACCACGCATCTTTAAGTTTTTGGATATATTCAAACTAACTTAAATTTGATGTTTCACTAGCACTATTAATATTAGTTTGATTTAGATATTATACTAAAAAGGGATGAAACAAGTAGGCTAACATTAATAGAAATATCAAACAGAACAGAATAATTACGAGGGAAAAGATTAAAAGCTGTCACTCCTTGTGTGGAAGTTTGTACATCTTGGTTGGATTAGAATAGGAAAAACATAACAAAAAAGAAATGAAAAAGGGCCAAGTTTTCTCAATCCCTGCCTAACAAGTAAACGTACTCATAATAGAGCTCTAGTGCACGACACTACTACGTCACTACCAGTGAGAAAAAGAAAGTAGATAAGGTGTAGCCATGAAACTATAAGCATCTGAAAAAAAATGATTGATCAGCAATATACCTACAACCTAGCCATTGAAAAGATTTGCAAACTTCAATCTTAAATCTTGTTATAAAAATCTAGAAAGGAATGAGGAAACAACTGAGATGCGGCTTTCCCAGCATCCTGGAACAGTTGAATCACTTCCAGCTGTAATGATCATAACTGAACTTGCATCTCAGCTTCTTTAGACCAAAAATCCTCATCCAAGACTCAGGTTTGCAAAAATTGAGCAGTTGAAGGCCTACTATATCAACTACCTAGGCTCAACTTGCTACCTTTTTCTTGACTACTCTTTTTCTCCGAGCCTTGGGAGCTGCTGGTGTTTCACCCTCAGTCGTTGAGTTATTCTGACCCTGTTTAATACCAAGAAGCCCGAGCCCGGAAACAATGGCATTCTTGGATATGAACCACTTTGACGATGACTGCTCGAGACCTTCAGTAGGCCGACTGTACGCCTTCAATACATCATCTGAATGAGCCAATGGATCCACCTCCACACCAAGCCAAGCTAGCCTTGATGTCTCTCCTACTTGAACATTCAAGGCTCTGCATAACAATAAAAAAATATTATAGTGCTGGAAAAGATCAAATCAAATAAACACCAATACTATTACAAGATCAACGATATACACAAATATATCCTGACCTCTAATCCAAGATATTGCATATAATTTCATCTAGTCTTGGGATACAGATGGTAATCTTTCTTTTACAGAAACAGAAATTGCTCTTAAAACTGCAGTCATTAAGTACTGCATCTGAAGAACTCAGAAAATACTATAGACCTGACAGAAGTGCAAATTATAGCCGAAAAGGACCACAACCAACTTTTTACTCATAGGGGTAATCATCTTTTGTATCAATGTTAGAAAAGGAAGGAGATAGAAAATGGAAAAAACTAATTTCCTGAGTAAACTACCAAAACATGAAATTGACTCTGATAAAACTGCGGTTTGCAAAATGCAATGATATCATCTATTTTCCCAGCTAAATACCTCATGGCAGTGCTGAAGAAGAGAGCCACCCCAATAACATCAAAGTAACTAATTACAGCTCTGTCAAATCCATTCAACAGCTGGTAACGCAGGTTTGCATAAACACCAAGGAAGGCCCCATAACCAAGTGCATTACTGCTCACAGATGGGATACTCACTGATAACCTGGTGAATGGTAGAAAGAAGCCATCAGTAATGACATACTTTACATTTCGCTTAAATGAATGAAACTTAAATGGAGAAATTAAATGACCCATATGCCAAAAAATGCTTACCTTCCCTCTTTTTTACTGGCAAGAAGATTTGATAGACCCCCTTGCACGGCTCCTGCACTGAGTCCAACCATACACAACTCTGCTGCCTTATAGAAAAAAGAATGAATTCTCTTCTGCAAGTCAAATTCTCTTAAAGGATAACTCTTTTCAAAGATATTGTTCGGAAGCTTCTGTAATGTGTTCTGCAAATCGAAGCGGAATGTATTCCCATAGGAATGACAAGGAGCAAGCGTCCAAACAACAGCAGCATTGCAAGCCGTTACAGTTAGAACGTTAAGAAGTGCAAGATCCCACTCCTGTTTAATCCTAGATCAGAGTAAAACAAAACATGTGCACTAAGTCAATCCTCTTGTAGTGAGTTTTATTTGCTTTTAACATTTCTGAACCAGATAAGATTGCCCAAGGTGGGGTGGCTTGAAGAAAGCCGTCAATGCCCCGCCAAATAAAAAAATTTAACAAATAGAACATTAAAAGAAAGGGGAAAAAAAACAAAGTACCTTTCCTTACGGTTTTTGATCTCCCACCACACTGAGCAACCAATTGTAGTTGCCTGCTCCAGAAGCAGCTTGTATACAAATGCCGGATCTGCGATCTTCCTGTCACAGAAAGACAATCCAGAAAAAAATAAGGAAACTGGAAATGTGGGCTTCAATATGTGGTAAAAACTTGAATACTCAAGACATGGTTTAGACAGCAACATATTAGACAACATTTACATTCAGAAAAGCTTAGATGACATAGCCTAAGGTGTCAAGCTGCTCCATGGATTTACAAAGCATTAAAGTTTGGGGACTGATATAGCCAGAGCAACTTCCATCCTGCAAAGTTTTATATCTTATAGGTTTTGCTGGTTTGATTTGATCTTTGTCGAAAATTGGTGCTATCAATTTCCTTTCAAGTTTTTGAAAGAAAAAACATGACTGCTGCTCCTCCATCAGCAGATCAAACACAATCCTGCCAGCTCATCACATGACATAATAGAAATCCCATCACAAAACCACATTTTGGCTGCAGAATTAAGAAGAAAGAAAGTTCCTTTTGGCGCTTTGTCTTCTTTGGTTCACTACTGCAGTAGCAGCTCTTTCATTGAATGCGTGGAAAAGGGTGAGGAACTTGTGATTTAGGTCACAGGTTCGAGTTCTGCACCATGCGAACTAAGCCTGGTGTTTAAGTGGAGCGGGGTAGAGGGGCGGGCCCATTATGCCCAAGTTTCATAGGCTGCAGCCACAGACAGATTTCTTGGACATAAAAAAAGCTCTGCTTCATTCAAAGATCTTTCACGATCTCGAACAAGCCTGGCAAACCCTGGCAGCTGAGTGCCCAGGAAATGGTATTGGGTTGATATCTTTTTCACCCCTCCATTTGATTCATTTCATTAATTCTTCTAAGTACATTCAGACAGTCTTTACATCTCGTTCATTTAGCGGCCAGTTAGAGAAAAGGAATTGACCTTCAAGAAAATGCTTGTGAAGCTAACAACACCATAAGGCTTTGAAGTAAATATGGGAATCGAGCCGAATTCCAGTTTTATGGCCGTAAAACGCCAAAAACCGAGGAACGGTCATGGCGGAACGGTGACCGATGTTCCTTAGGTCGTTTTTGATGGTCCGTAAAAATTTTGGGTGGTCCGGGCCGGGTGGCCTGGGTAATGGCTGCAATGGTAAGAAACGTACTCTTAAAAAAGTTATTATTATACATAGGGGGGTAGGGGTAGGGGAAGGAGAAATAGGGGAGGGGATTACAAAGTGGGGAATCGAACCCTTACCAACAAGGTGAAAGTTCGGATAACTAACCAACTGAGCTACTAAGAATCTAAGATCCCCACTTAAGAAACGTACCTGAAGAATGCAAGATATTTTGAGATGATCTTAATTTAAACAGACAGAATTCTGATCAGCAATGATATTTCTGACATGCCATTACATACTATGTATCTAACAGACAGGCTTTTGTCCAAAATAATTGCCCTAGGGGTGTTTTGAGGACTGTAATAATGATATCTTACCTGCCAATGAATGCCCTGGATAATCCTGGAGGAAGTAACCGAGAAATAGATCTCTCCATGGTGGGCCTAGCATTAATAGCAAGAAATTTCACCATTTGGGCAGAGCTGACTAATCCCTGGATGAACAAGCAGAAACTAAAGTTAGACATAGAAATAACGCAACCAAATAAGACTACTCAATAGAGTAATTTACCATTTCATAGGCTTGCCGAAGTCCAGCTGGTAAATCTATCATTGTCTTCTGCCACTCGTTCAGCACGGCATCAACAAATTTACGATCAAACAACTGGGCAACATGGAAAAATTATGAGTGACATGATACTGTACAATAAACCCTGTAGAATAAACCCAGAATTAAGTAGAAACAATTTCCACTTGCAGAGGCCTCTTACCTCCTGCAGTATCATTCGTCTCCTAAAGAGTCCACCCTCATCTCCCTCATCACCATCATCAAAATCATCGAAGTAATCGTCATCATCACCACCATCGTCACCTCCATCACCACCGCCATGATTTAGATTCTTTCCCATATTTCCACCTCCTCCGCCAGTTGAAAGCTGTGATGTGGCCAAGTTATTAGCAAATTTGCTCAATCAAATGTTTATTAAATAGTAGCACAAGGTTAACAATGAAGCTTAAGATCATGAGAGAGAGACCGCATCGTTCTCAACATAGTCGGGTTAGAATGCTATATGTTATATAGCAGCAGAAGCGACACTCCACACCATCTACACCCAACTAAGAAGTGCATTCAAGAAGAATGCTATATCTTCTCTTGTCTTTTTTTTTTTCACTTTTCCATTTCATTGAAAAGAAAAGATGCTTAAAACAGAAAAAAATAGCAACAAGATGCATTTGGTAAAGGCATACGACACATCTCGAATCTAGTAAGCAACTTCAGAATTATTAATTCTTAAACACATTGCCATTTTAGGCAGAGTCAATTTTAACCAACTTTGCATTTTATTTTTGCTATTTGTCAGAGCTGGCCAGACCTTTGTCAATCAATTGTGAATAGCAATTGAAATCGCACATGGAAAAACTCTTTATTCCCAGTCTCCAGCATAACATGTGGGGAGAACAGAAACATCTATACAGTTATTCATTCTATACACAGCAGTGTCTCTACACCTCCTTCAACCTTTGTTAGCAATATACTAAACTACGACTTAAGTATGAAGATAAAAGTGGAAATACAAGAAAATTTCCAGCTCGAGTGTCAGCCAGTCAAATCTTGAATATCAACTTAATTTTGGTAAGCATGCCTTAATGATAGAAAGAGCCTTCTCTTGTTACAAGAATAACATAAAATGATATATGACGAACCTAAGACCAAGCAGGCAATGCCTAAATCTCTATATTAATCAATCAACAAAGCCTCAAAATTTAAGCTAGTTGGGAAATGGCCAAAACGCTAGAACTTGCTAAATTCCAAGCATTTAAGTTTTTGACAGTAATTTCAGCTTAAAAAGAACCTCACTGAAACATTAAAAATCTTATTTTTAGGCAGAGCTTTTTCAACTATCACTATATTATTTCTACCTCCAATTTTAGCAATCAGCTGGAGCTACAAAATTGNGGCGTACATAACCGAAGACGACGCCGGAGAATCGAGAGAAGGTGAAGCTTGAAAGCAGCGTTCCAAGACGGCCATAGGGTCGCCGTCGACAGCCGGGGACGCCGTAGCCTTGATGATAACAACGTTGGTTTTACGAACTTTGCCGGCGAAAAGAGAAGGGCGGCAGAGTGAAGGGGGCAATAAGGGTTTCGAAGATAAGTGGGGTTTAGAAGAAGGGATGATTTGGGTATTGATAGGCATGATTTGTGCTGTTTGGAATACTGAATGAGACATTTTCTTCTCTTTTTTCAAACTTTTTCTTGTTTGGATAGGAAGAAAACTTATGTAAAGATTTTCTTCATGGGGGTATGGAACTCTCTGAGAGAGCAGAGCAGACTGCAGACGTTGAGGGGGAGAGAGCGAGAGAGAAACGAAAGGGTGAGGTTTTTGAAGATGAAGGGGAGAAAATTAGCCGACTACGCGACAAACCCAATCCGTTGCCTATTAACTCCTTCGCCCTTGCTTTTCCTTTTAAATTTAAACCCCAAACTCAAAATGCTAAATCAACTTATTTAAAGTTACTTTTTTTTTTCGTTGTTTCTTTTTTGTGGTTGGTGGGCTAAGGTGAGGTATGCTAAGGACAGCGGATGGCCAGGATTTTCTTTATTCAATAAAAGTACTATAAAAATTACTATAATAAATATGTCCTCATTTAACATGACTTATATTAAGTTGATTCATGTATGATGAACAATGATTCCATCTTCTCTTGAATTTTGATATAGAATTTTACTAAATTATTGTCTACTGTAAAAAGCAAAATTAGCAAGCGGTAAGCTCAAAAAAATAATAATTGGCATCTACGTTCTAATACTGAAGTCCAGTATAAAAAACACTGATTACCATGATTTGGCCATCTTACAAATATCACGTAAAAATCCCTTCAGAAGTTCAAAATTCTTAACAATGTTTTATGTTTTATGGCATACTTGATTGCGCTTATATAAGTTTGAAAGTTGCCTAATAAGTACCCATTAAAAATAATAAAAAGTGTTACTCCTAGTACATTGTATATATTTTTTGTTCGCACAATTATTCTACAAATATTTTAAAATGACAATTAATTGTTCGCGTCCTAAGCATAGACAGATATATAATTCAATCACGTGTATCAATTAGTTTTTTTGGAACATAGCCGCCAACAGATATTATTAGATTAAATCTAAAAAATATGTACATAAAATATCTAATTTTGCAAGAAACGGTGGGTTGGCATACACCATAATTTGGGCAGTAGATCCGCAAGATTCAGAGTAACCACTTACTTGATATATTATTATTAAAAAAAATAAAAAGGAGAAAAGAAGAACCTTGAAAATGGGTTTCTTCGTGTATTAGAATTGAGAACACCATTACCTGTTGCCAATACATTAGTCTTATACTTTACTTTTGGTAGGAGGAGTGGATTAAGGAAGCTGCAGAAATATCGTATCCAGAGGATAAAGAATCTCAAAGTGCAAAGCATTTCCAAAAAGCCATCCTTTTTCTTCCTTCCCTTCTCTTCTATAAAAGCCTTTGCATTTGTGACTTTCCTTCATCTAATTTGTCAAAATCTATAACTCATTTCCTAGCATTCTTTCTTCCCAAAAAAGAGTATGTCATTGATCCCTCGAAATCGCCCTCGAGTTATTGTCAATGGAGTCCAGAGAATGAGAACATACCATTACTACTGGTGCAGACATTGCCAAAGATCAATCAGGACAACTTCAGCCAATCCATTTGAAATTTTATGTCCTACTTGTTTTGGCCAAGTTCACTATGAACTTGATATTACAAGGCCTAGGGTAATAGTTTCTGATGTCACAAGGCTACAACCACAACCATCCTCGAATTCTCGCCTTCTTGATGCCTTGGCACTCATGACTGATCCATCAATCAGACAACAAAACAATAATAGTGATCAAAATCATCGGACTAGACAACGTGCTCGCGTCATTCTCCAATTTATTGGTCCTGATGATCAACCTATTAGGCCTGTTTCTCCTCATGAGAACGCGCTTTCTTTGCCATTCGTTCAAGAATTGACTCATAACTATAGGCCAGGGCCGCCTCCAGCACCATCTTCAGCAATTGATGCATTGCCAAGAATTGTGCTAAATGCAAACCATTTGGCAAATGACTCTGTTTGTCCTGTTTGTAAAGATGAGTTTGAAGTTGGGATACAAGTTAAAGAGCTTCCTTGCAAGCATTTTTACCATTCTGAATGTATTGTTCCATGGCTTAGAATGCATAATACTTGTCCGGTTTGTAGATATCAGCTAGAAGGTTTCTCAAACAATGAACACCAACATGGTTACACAAATGAATTTAATGAAGAAGAAGAAGAAGAAGAGGAGAATATGAGGAATCCTCTAATTTGGGGTTGGACTCAGCTTACCTCTTTATGGCCTTTTAGTTTGCTGTCAAGTTGGAGACAGAGATATTTTAACCCTTTTGAGACTGCAACTTCTGCTTTTCCTACAGGTTAGTTGGTTCTTTATTCCATTTAAAATGGTCTAATTTTTCACTAAAGAAAAATATTTGATTTTTGGACAGGGAGAGCTTGGTGGAACCCTTGGACTTTTCCTTGATATTGGTTGCTGCTTAGTTGGTTCTTTATTCCATTTAAGGAACTGTGCATAGTAGGTTGTTTTTATCGTTATTTGCTTCATTAGTCACTAAGCAGGTATGTTTACAATTCAACTATATCATTCTGAATTGAATCTGTGCATGGAAATTACCTGTGAATGGGATCAAATTAAGAGATTAAAGACTCAGCAGGTATGTACCCATTCTTCCCTCCCAATTAAGAGATTAACGTTATATGCGCCGATAATGTAAAGAACTTTATATTATCAATGTAATTTAACCGGACATAGCAGGTCGTGATTCTATTTTCTAGATTATTATTATATCAGACTCGATATGAAGAGTTATCTGTTATTATAGCTTATAGATCAACTAAAAAAAATCGGATCGGTTAATACTTAGTATCACGGTGTTTGATGAGTCAACATCCAGTAAGAGGTTGATAAGAATAAGCATGAATGTTGAAAGTATGAAAATTGGATTGGATCAGAGCATCACAAGGCTCACAAACATAAAAGAAAACGGCACTACTTTTAGCTATGTAATCTACTAACATATTTGGAAACTTATAATTATTGCAGTAATTTAGTTTCAGCTGGAACTCTTCTCTAGAAATCAATGTTGCTGATGGCTTATGGATTTCAAGGACATTGTGATTCGACTATTAAAGTCATGGATTTATTTTCAGCCAGAAAGATGCAAGAAGTAGAGGAAGAAAAATGTGAAGGGGAGAAAAAGAAGCCTCATTTTATTTCATAAGGGAGAATGTACAATGTAGTTTGTGGACCAATATTTCTATTATTTGTTCTTAATGATCAAAATTATGTCTAGCAGCAACCTCAATTTCAAGATGTAAAGCTTGTCTTAGAAATTAGAATGATGACAAACCACTAAAAAAATAAATAATTAGGTAACATGTTTGTTGTGTTAGGTGAAGGAATAGATTAACCAATTTCAAGTTTTAAATCTAGTGATATAATAGGTCACATGTTTTATACGGTAATTAAGCAAGTTTCTTAAGACTGATTCATGAAAAGAAAAATATAATATAATGTATCTAAAAACTGAATTATTATATAGAGTTCTACTTTATGTATTACATGTATGAGTTTTGTTCATGTCAAAATGCACCACGGTAGGTGCTAAGCACCCAATCTCATTGACCCGAACACATAATTTACACAAAAAAAATAATAAAATTTGCAAATAGAGTTATCTGGTACCCGATTTTCGGAAACACAATGAATGAACGGATTTTTATGTGAGTATTAGCAACTTTATGATTAAAAGTCATTAAGCATTCATGACTTTAAAATATTGGATCTGTCACTATGATCACCTCAAAAGAAAGAAAAAAAAAAAAGACAAAGCAAATTCAGTTTGAATTACTAGACGGAAGTTTTTAGTGCTCAATTTTGTTAAATTAGTGCATATTTAGTTTCTCGGAAATATAAAATGACAAAAACATGGAAATAAGAATTAAATTAAATTAAAAACAGAACTATAAGGGAGTCATCTGCAATTATAATAAAGTAAGAGGGACGTTAGAGCAATAAACTCGAATACCACTCGTTAAAATAGCGGGTATTTGGTTCGGGTTTAAGAATTTTACGGAGCAAAATGGAAATGGCGGGTTGGGCAGCTCTACCATCCAATAATCCAAAGTTTACCCACACATGGGGTCCCACAACCAGCCACCTCATCACCAACGCCGCCGCTCTCCGCCTCGGAGACTTCCTCCACCGCCGTATCCGCCTCACTTATCTTCTTCAAACTTCTATCAAGGTAACTTTTTGGATTGCGTTTCTTATGAATTTGCTGTGGGTTGTTGATCCTTGCAGTGTTTGTAAAGTTAAATGCCTTTTTTTTTTTGCTGTGGTTCCAATTAATTTGATTAAACTCAGTTCAATGTGATTATATTGCTCGAATTTATGATATAATTAGTTAATCACTTGGGATAATGGATTAATAACTAATTGGTGCTGCACACACTAATCCTTTGTGACAACGGGTGCCAATTTAGTATAAATGTATATATTTTAAATATTTTCCACAATGTATATAGCTGAATTTTCTCTAAATTATTTTTACGAAAAATATATTTGGATAGGATTCTTGTAAACTAGCTCTGCTTGAAAAGTTCTTACCTTGGTTGAAACATCGTCTGATTTGCTTTGATGTAATACATATCTCCTTATCCTAGCAGTCGCAAGGAATTCTCGAAATGCAAAGATCTTAACCACCACTTTGGTTGCTGTACAGCATATTTATTGTCATGGTCATGGGCCTAAATTGAAGGATGTTTGGCATAAATGGACCGTTCATGTTACTGGATTCAATATCCTTCAATGGTCACAGGATGTCTTATCTGGCGCACACACGAACTTATTATTCTTCAATGCTGATGAAAGTAGAAGGGAATTCAAACAATTTCAGAAGTCATCCTCAAAGTCGTCTAGATCATTCTTTTCTAGTGAAAGAAAATGGACCAACATATTCCTTGCTCTTAACATATTGTAAGTTTAGTATTCTTAACCAAAATGGAGCAAATACGATGATATTGTTTTTACCTTGGATTAATATTTATATAAGTCAATTCGATCTTTTTCCCATTCGCCGCTCAGAATGAAGAAAAAGGCCTTCTTGCAAATATCAGGAAAAAGTAAAACCAGAAAAAGGCACCTTTTAAATATGGTTTTGATTGGTATAAGGGACAAAGAGCTTACTGTTACACAGAGAACTAACAATTTCTATCTCACTACAGGGTCTATATTGCACAAGTTGCAACTGATGGAAAGCTTTTATTTTGGGGAGCCAAGGTTAGACTGGATTAAAAGTGTAAAATTGCTGATATAATTTCTTTCATATCAACAATATTTTCTTTCACATGGTTGATTGATATGTTTTGCAGATTAACAGTCTTATTAACAAAGGGCAATTATGGAGGCTGATTACTTCTTCATTCTTGCATGCAAATATAGGCCATCTCTTGGTTTGACTTGACTCACGTTTTCTGGATTCCTAAATCCATCTTTGCTTAAGGTTTTAAAGCAGATGTGGCTTCTTTTCAGGTTAATTGTTATTCGTTGAATTCTGTTGGACCTGGTGTTGAAAAAATCAGTGGCCCTAGAAGATATGTTGTGTTGTATTTGACATCTGCAATTGCAAGTAAGACACATCACCATATAAGACATATTCGTATTTCAAAGAAGTAATTCCTATTATACTGTGATTCTGATTGCATCTTCTGAAAGAGATCAGGTTCAGCCATGAGTTACTGGCTTAGCAAGGCACCTGCAGTTGGTGCCTCAGGGGCAATTTTGGGATTAGTAAGTTCTGCTTTCCTTTTGCAGTTTTAGTGGACTTGCTATTATGGTGCTTGCAGCTGGGATTACTATCTCATGCTATTTCATGATTTCTTATCACTTACATTGTCCAACTCTTTGATCTCTAAATGTATCTGCTTATGTGGACTCATTTGTATATTGCTCTCTGGACGCTTGATGTGTAAATCCCATTGGCATTTTACTGCGAAAATTAACTTGCCTTCTAGTTTCTTTTTTTGATAAGGTAAAAGTTAACTTACCTTCTAGTTGTATGTAGTTTAGGAAAAATAATGCCTCATTTGTTTCAGTTATCATGAGAATACTTGGGATACTGAAGTTTTGTTTCTGGCCGCTACAAGGATCTATTTGTCACAATAGCAGTCAAGGAAATTAAATAATTAGACTTATTGCTTTTTCATTTATCTATGAAATACTGATATCCATGTTTTCGTGTCATTACCAGGTTGGATCTTTTGCAGTGTTTGTTTTGAGGCATAGAGGCATGGTAAAAGGCACTGAGGGGGATCTTCGATATATAGCAAATGTGATTGTTTTAAATATGGTAAAGTACTATATCATCTATTCAGCTCCAGGCCCTTTTGTTGGCACTCACCATGCGAGTGATAGAGCACAGATCTTATTATTAAGCATATCCTCCAAAAGTGTGTATTCTTGTGAACCTTCATAGGTTGAAGATGCTAGTTAGCGGTTTAAGGTTTTTAACTTTAAAGTAATATCAGAGTATTCATGAGGGCTGCTCATATCTGTGTTCGGTACCATAATACTTGCATGTTTACTGATTCACAAGTGTCAAGTTTGATCTCTTTTCTTAATATTTCCTTTTCCTTGTTCATCAACTGCTGGCAATCATTTCTCTTACAGGCTATTGGACTACTGAACAAAGGGATCGACAACTGGGGACATGTAAGTATAGCAATATTTAACTTCTGCATCATTTTCTCAGTATTTATGTTTTTTGTTCACCAAAGTGAAGGGGAGTCTAGGAGCAACGGTAAACTTATCTCCGTGTGACCTATAGGTCACGAGTTTGAGCCGTGGAAGCAACCACTAATGCTTGCATTACGGTAGGTTGTCTACATTACACCCTTCCCCGGACCCTGCATGAATGCGGAATGCCTTGTGAACCGGGCTGCCCTTTGTTCACCAAAGCTCGTGCTTTTACCACATTACTGGATGAGCCTGCTTTTGATTTGTAATGACAATCAATGGCACTCCAGCATCTCCTACATCATCTTTCCTTTCTTGTTGAGGAGTTCTTCTCTTCCATTCTGTTGCTCTTTTTAATTCCCAGCAAGCAAAAAGAACAAAGAACAACAGGAAATCTAAGATCTCTGCCCATAAAATATTCACTTTAACCATTCCGCAAGCCATATTTTAAGAGCTTAAATTTCGAGGATGCAAAATCTCTGGGGGTCTTATGATTTGACAAAGGATTATTCATCTTGTAAAAGGCGGTTTCCGCTTATTGAAGTACATTCTGCAAGGTCCATGCTTGCTACNGTATATGTATATATAAAAGTAAAATGATTGCTTTATATTGGAATATGTTTTAATGGTTGTAAGACTTTCTAAGTGTTCTCTCATGAACATTTCAGCTTGGAGGCTTAATAGGAGGAGGAGCAGTGTCATGGCTTCTTGGCCCAGCGTGGAAGATTCAATCCATCTCCAGTGAAGGCCGACGAGTTTTTGCTGACACGGCACCAATTTTCTCTATTATTCAAACTAAAAGGGACAAGTCATAATCCCTACTATTCAACTACTAGTGCGCTAGCTAACGTGACTCAAGCCTTGGCCACCTGCAATTGTACTGATTTTTCCAATACATACGAAAAAGTGGCGTCCATTTATTCATACACTTGTGGTAATGATCCAGTTCACAGGTCTGTGCTGTATATAGTTTGCCTTTGAATAGGGAATATGTGACCAGAAAAATAAGGAGCAAATTAGAGGTCACTTCCTGTCGCGTTCATTAACTATAGATGGAGGCCTGATAAGCTGTATGGCACCTCTGTTTACCTGTCATTATATAGGTTTTTAGGCAGATGTCGAGGTTCTTGGTAATCTAATTTAGATTGCTGTTGGTCTGTTATTTATTGTACACTTCACCATGAGACTTTAAACTACATCCATTTGTAAAATAATCCAATTACTAAATGTTCAATATTTTGTTGATTGTTTTGTTTCAAATTGTCATATATCTTATTCTTACTTAAATGTGTGGAAGAGGATCCATTTTCCTTCCGAGGTACTTTGCAAGTTCAGGTGTCTTAATCGAGTTCATGAAATTTGGTTCACGTTATGAACTTGATTATTTGCAAGACGTGCTCATTTTAAATGCTTAATTGACCATATAACGTTCAGTTTCTGAACTAAGCGACACTAACCAACAGAGAGTGCCACCGAAGATTTCTCGGTCCAGAAAAAAGAACGATACCAATCAGTAGTTTGGAACAATAGACAGAGAGCCAAAAGGCTGCTATTTGAAGTTCAGCACATCAAAAGCAGCTAATTACAGTTTAAAGTAAGAATATACATCATGTATAGTGAGGTTATATAATGTGTTGTTGCATGTTTTGCAGCTTGTTCAAGAAGAACCAAACACATCTTACGACTGGTCTCTCCTTGAAAACCTGCAGATGAGCATGTATCTGAAACTGTTGTTTTCCTGAGTAGTCATTCCCTTCGGGAAGAAACATCTTTTAATGTCTTCATGTGAAGTAATTGTGTCAATTAGAGGCCTGCCACCTTTTGGCTTTGACCTGTGATTTCTTCTGTTCATATAGGGTTAACATGGCTTCTCATGGTAACCACAAACTAACCGGCAAAAGATGCTAGAATCCTAGTCAAATAAAGCTGCTTGTTGCTAAGTATACTTCTCTCTTCTTTGAAAATGAGAATTTCTTGTAGAAAGAGAACGTGACATTGTCACCATGTTCAACTAAGGATGTGAAGTACTGCCAATCCGAATAACCAGAATAAGCAAATCTCCTTATAAGAAAAGCCAGGTGCAAAAGCTGCAAGAAAAAAAGCGTCAATAGGATACTTGAAACCAAAACAAACAGCTAATGAGGGGCACAAATATACAACAGATTCCTACAATATTATATCACAAGGTCCGCACGGAAATGGTCATAACACGGTTGCCATGAAAGAGCTTCCTCCTTTTTCACTTTATTTCTCGCTACCTCTAAAACAGAATCTGTTGTAGCTAAAGAGATATCACTTGAGACATCTTAAAGTCACAAATTCCCTAATGGTTCTTAGCCATTCAAACAAATGATAGATGCTACCACTAGGTAAAAGCAAGTCAAAATGACAACAATGTATCATTGTGATTGCATGAATATAAAGATCAAGTAAAGAGGAGAAACTTACATGATGATGAAGATGAGATTGAGGAAGACATTAGTGGAGGAGATACGTCACCTCTTACATTCCTCGTGTTACCAGAGCCATATGATTCAGCAGATAAAGGAGAAGGACCAGGACTGGGAGCATATGGTGATGGGCTTGCTGCAATTCTGGAACTACTTGAACGTGGAACAGTATTTGTCACAGGAGAAGGTGGATCAGCCATGGGAGATGGAGAACTGCTAGGCTCTTTTTCACGAGTTGAGCTACAATGAAGCCTAGCATGTGATCGTAGGAACCTATGACAGTTGGGCAAGGGAGATGGAAATGGAGATGGAGATGGAGAAACAGCTGGTGATGGGGAAGGTGATGGCCACAAAGGTTCATTTGGAGAAGGAGCTGGAGTTGGAGCAGGAGGAAGAGTTGGTGGGGCAGAGTCTACAGTACGGTTTAGAAAGGAAGATAAACTTACTTGCTTCACTTTACCAAAAATAGAGTTATCAAGGCCAAGATTAGTTGCAGGAACAGATCCCATAATTATTTGAGCCAATTGTTGTAATCTCTGAGCCGGTATTCTCCCAGAGTCTGAATATACTGAAGCTTCGACAATAACTGGGGGATCTTTAGTAGAGCCAATTTTATTTGTTACCTGTAAAAATACATGCTGACAGAAAATAAAAGAAAAACAAGTCAGATATGACAATCGAATTCAGAAATGTACTATGGTAAACAGCATGAACGAAAAGAAGCAAGTAACATCTGCACCCACTTTTATATTTTCCAGACAAGGAAAAATGAAAAATAGGATGGGAAAAAGCAGCAAAATTGATATTCCTAGCACAAAAACATATCAACTTGCCCATAGGGAGTTAGATAACTTTGATAGCACATCAGTACAGGGTGGCAGAGAGTTGATATAGTTTGTTCCAAATATTTGGAAATGAATGGCCGAGGCTGGGATGCAAGCATGACTAACTAAATTTGTTTTCAATCTTATCATAGGATTCTCAAAATAATCCGCGCAAATGTTGCAGAAATTATATAATTATATCTCATGCAGTTTCATATATGACCAAATGTCAATAAAATATTAAGAAAGTATATATGCGTTTACCCCTTTTCTATCTCATTTTCAGTAATATTGAACTGCTTATGACAGCCTCAGCAAAGGAAAAACATTTCTAGAAACTCCTGACAACAGATCTATTGCACACATGTCACAAATTTCTGACAGGGAAATCTTATTAAAACCGGATACACCAAGATCTCTGACGTATATCCAGCATAGCTTTATTTTTTTGACAAACATTGATCTCTTTATTCACCATTTAAGAAAGAAACTTCAGACACACGTGTTGTGTATCATTATGTTCCTTTTAGCATCAAGTAGGAATTGCAATTCAGATACAACCCAATGAATAGCTAAAAGAAAAAGAAATGAGGAATATCACTTCTTTCTTCTGTAGTGATTCATCTATGCTTGTGTAGCGTATTTATAATGTGAAGAGGAAAATCGTCAAAAAGAAAAGAGAAAATAGAGGAGTATACGTCGAAATAGAATATCTTCTCTACTATTAAAACATCTGTGGATAACACACAGCAGAAAAAAAATACACAGTTTGTAAGCAAAAAGTAAAGAAACTCATTCTAAAAGATAAGGAAAAAACTATTGAAATGGAAATTTCCTTGAAAAGAAATATAAAAATCAAGAACAAGCATGTGCACCATGGACCAAATGAAAAATCAAGAAATAACACTACATATGTCATTTGATGTGTTTATTTCCCATAAAAATGAACCATAGAACATTTTGAGAATGAGAAAAAAGGTATCATAGAACTAATCTGTTGAGTTAACTAGTAACATAACAGTAAAGCAAGTGTTACGGTGATTCCTAAGCCATGAAAAAGGACTAAGCTAGACCTAAGAGAGGATGTATTAAGTAGACAAAGCATGGACAAACTGCTCGGCATAAATGTGTTTGTATTCTTGCCTTGGTTCCAAAAGGAGTCCTGTCTAAAGTATGCCCAAGTCTTAGCTTTCAGATGCCTCCAAAATCTAAGCCCATCCAGAAATATCAACTCGAAAAGAAAAAGAGATTTCATTTAAATTATGATATACCTCATCCTTCCTGAGACGCAAGTAAAAATTCAGTTGTTCCTTCAGCTCAATAAAATTTTCCCTTATTTCATCGGTAGAATTATGGAGAGTAAAATTGAAGAGGATATCGGGTAGGTTCAAAAAGGATAAGCGCCCGGGCATCATAGTGATTCCACCAGGACATTTCAAGACTTCAAATGAAGACGTCCGTCCAAATATCGAGGAAGTCAGTGTCAGATTGGTATCTCCAAGATATAGATCTAATAAAGCAGACTTCAATAGACTTAAGGACACTGGAGTAATAGAAGAATCAACTGGATCTGGAAGAAAACCAAATGTTACGTCAGTCTGGTTAGCCACACCTGCTCCATGCACGGATAGGATTGCAACCTGAAAATTCCCATTGTCAAGCTGACTTGCACTCTACCGAAACGAGACAGCATATATAAACAAGATTTTAATTTTGAGGAAGGTTGCAAACCTTTATGCCAGGGATAGCAATCTCTTCCAAAATATCATACTCCAGTCTTGCAATGTGGGGAACAATATCTGAAACTGGCTTCTCCAATCTGAAGTATGCTTGAGTAGTGGCTGAAAACAAAAGAACACAGCAACACTAAGAACTGATGATGGGTTAAAATACCAAAGGCGATAAATAAATGAATGGGAAATCAGTCTCCACAGCTAACAAGATCGGAAAGGTCACCAATTTTTAGAGATTATCCACATCAATCAGTCACATAACATGTAAAATTTAAATAGGACATTATCTTTCATCTGGTAAACTAATAGGAAAATACTGAGACTACAATCAACACAGATACAAGCAAGGTCAAGAGCATTTCCACTATCGACTAAAATTCCACCAGCCAATGGAAGCACAAAGGTAATCCAGTGTCTATTGACTATTTACAGTCCAAACTTTTGCAGAAAGGAATAAAATTGTGAAGCAGACCTTACAGCACCACACCCTGGCTATTATCAGAACAATCACGAGTAGCCCCCGGAAAACAAAAAAGAAAGATTAACTTTTACTTCTGTGCTGCCAAAAGAAAGAAATTAGGACTTCCATTTATAAAAGCAAGATAAGATAGGGATCCATCTATCTTGATCAGTATTTTCATCTCCTTTACCCTTTTTCATTGAAGGCATCCGGGCATAAAGCATCACCAAAATCCTAAGCAGCTAAGGAGAAAGTTCTTCGTTATATTTTTACTAGCAGAAGAACGTCGTCAAGAAAGATAATGTGCTTTTCTCATATTTTTTTGGTGAGTGTGAACAGTTCAACTATTTTGTACAAATATTGATAGGACGCAAACTGTATTCTGAATGTGGTGAGATGTGAATAACTTATACATTTGAACTGCCAGGCTCAAGAGCAAGAGACCAAGAGATTAAATGCGCCTGAGCCGTTGCAAGCATAATGCTTACAAGTACATACGATGATTAAGCCTAACAAGATTAGAACTCTGTGAAGCAGCAAACCATAAATACAACAATCCTGATAAACAAAAACAACAGAGCCTACATACATGTATAAATAAGCCTAATAAAACCAAAAACATAGTGCTACTCAATCGATCAGTCAACTACAGCTTAATCCAAAACTAATTCATCTAAAAACACTAATTGCACTACCCTAATTCATCTTAAAACCCTAATTGCACAGCAAACTAAAAAGAATTCTGAAATATTATGATGAAACCCTAAAAGTAGAAGGA